AGTTTCTTCCAGTTTTTTCTATAGTACTGAAGTTCCAGATTAGATTTTGTTTGGAGATAAAAAGAGCTTGTCACCTACAAAAGGAACAGAAGGCGGCAGACAGTAATGGCTGTGCGCCAGCCTGGGCCACACTCCCAGCCAGGACCTGGAGTGTCTGGGCCAGTCCTGTCCCATAGACCCAGGTGTGACTCAGGCTATGAGGCACTGGGCCCTGACCTGCCCTGCAGGCTTCAACAGCTTCCTGATTGACAGGCACTGCCTGCCCAGGCTTGCTTCCTGCTATCCTGGCCTACAAGCTGGGAGTGGGTGGAGTATGTGTACATGACTAGAAGATGGACAGATTCTGGAGCCCACTGATGGCCAGTACTTCTGGCCTGTGCCGTGAAAACCAGCTGGCAGGAAGAAGAGCCTGGTGGGTGGGTTGGACCAGGCCCCAAACACCACAGGCTTTGGGGGATATGTAATGGGGAAATTCTAACAGTTACGGTAGATGGTAGCTGACTGAAAGGCCCTTGTAGTGGTCTAAGCAGGGGCTATCAACATACTTTATAAAAAGCCAGGCATACAGTGTCTCCACCTCTGGGGGCACACATGACTCCTAGTGCCGATTCTTCTGGTGCTGTGTGCCTGGACAGGCCACCTTCTACCCGTGTGGTCTCCCTGTGACTGTTGAAGGAAGAACACATGCCAGGCCCCTCCCCTGTGGGGTTGTTCCATTATCCCCTCAGTGCATGGGAAGAGATGGTTGATTTGACACAAATGTAAGAGTCACATGGCTGTCCTTGGCCAGAGTTGGCCTGCATTTGAGGGTTCCTGACAAGTAGTCTTTTGCCAGTGAGGTGACTGAAGTCTGGCGGTACCAGCAGTGTGGCTAGCAAGGGGCAAAACTCAGTGAACTGGCCTTTGCTCCACCTCTGCTCTGCAGCTGTGGTGCAGGCCTGGGAGTTCCAGGAGGTTAAGGAAACCAGGCACCCGATTCCCACAGTCAGGCCATTGCAGGTACACAGAGCCTCTTGAGTGGCTTTTCTGGGAACACACAGTTCATGAAGCAGCTGTGTACAGACCATCACCACCCAGATACGTTTTAAATTCTCAAGAGTGGCCTGAGCCTTTCTCCTGCAGTGGCAGGGTGTGCTCAGCCTTCAGGTCTGCTGGTTCCTCGGGGTGGGGGATGAGTGACTCCTAGCCTCAGTGATGAGTACCAGGTAGGCATACTTACTGGGGCACAGTTGCCAAGTCTGTGCTAGATCAAAGGTGTGGAAACTGACAGAATCTGTCTGTGCTCACAAAGGCGCTTACTGTCAAGCCTGAAGACCCGAGTTTGGTCCCTGGATCCCACTGGATGGGAGGAGAGAACCAGCCCTTTAATTTGTCCTCTAACACAAAAATGTTTGCCTTATTCAAGTGGGAGGGACATACACCTTTAATCCCAAGCACTGAGGAGGCCGAGGCAGGTGGATCTCTGTGTGTTCTTCTCCAGCCTGGTCTACAGAGCAAGTTCCAGGGCTGCCAGGGGTACATAGAGAAACCCTGTCTCAAAACAAACAGACAAACAAAATTTATCTTGGAATCCAAACCAGCTGTGCTCATACAAGAATGTCTGCAAAGGCGTGTTCCTTCTTCCCAATGCTTACTTTGTTTCTGTTTTTTCCTTTTTTTTTTTTTTGGACATAGGATCTCACTGCGTAGTTCAGTTTTTAATTAAGAATTAATCTGAATTTAAGCTAATGGTGTACTGTGTGGTTGGGAGGGGGTGACAGGGCATCACTGGTCATTGTGGTCAGGGACCACAGAATCTGCCTGCCGTTTAGTGTGTCCCTGTTCCAAAGCCAGAGATTGTGCCATATCCCTAAGCTGTCTGTGAGGTGGGGTTATGTATGCCCAGTTTGACACTCTGATGTGTCCCAGGCGTATGATAGTTAGCCACGCACATGTGTTAGCTTCTGTTCTGGTGGTGACTTACTACAGGGTAGTAAGTAGATACTGAGTGGCTTGAAACACAGATTTCTTCTTCAGCTTCTGATGTTTAGAAATCTGAGCTTTGTCTCCCAGGACTTTAGCTTTAGCCAGGCTGCCCGCAGGGTTGCCTGTGCTAAAGTGAAGGCTCTAGGGAAGAATCTTTTTCCTGTCATTCTGGCCTTTGGAGGTCTGTGCTCTGCAGTCCCTTTCTGTCTTCCCAACTGCCTCCGCTGACCCACATCTTCTGTTGCAGGACACTTCATGACTCCATGGGGTGTCTGACAAGGCAAGCTGATCTGCCACCCTTAGCCATCCCTACAGCATCCCTTTGCCACCAGGCTCTGGGAGCGAGGACGCCTGTATTTGGTTGAGGGACCATCTAGCGCTGAACAAATTTACACAGTTCCTGTTGGTAATTCACATTGCTGCCTCTGGATGGTCCCCACTCCACCCTACCCTTGGCATTTATGTTTCTTTAAAACAAATATTACAAAATAAAATAAAATAAAATCTATCACTTTGGACTTGAGTGCCCAAAGATAGGTTATCTTTATGCCTGTGTTCCAGGTTGGAAGCGGCCTTGTGAGGCAGAGTATAGGTCCTGTCACGAGGTGAGTGTCCTGAGGGTTTGTGTCAGGGTAAGGCACATGTGCACATGCTGGTCTTTTAATAAGTTTTAGTAATTATTTATATGTATGTGCCTGCAAGAATTTGTGTGTCCCGTATGTGTGCAGGTGGCTCTGGAGGCCAGAAAATGGTGGTTGTGAGGTACCAGGTAGGTGCTAGGAACTGAACCAGGGTCATCAGCAAGAGCAGTAAGCTACCCCCCCCCACCTCCCCGGTTTTCTATTTGTTTGTTTTTGTTTTTTGAGACAGGGTTTCTTGGTGAAGCCCTGGATATCCTGGAGCTTGCTTTCTAGACCAGGCTGGCCCTGAAGCCTCACTCCTTCTCAGCCTCTGCATTGTGGAGATTGCAGGCATGCACTACCATGATACCTGACTGTGCTGGGGACTTGTGCCCAAGTCATCTCCTATTTCAGATTATTAGTTTGAGCTGACAGAAATGTGTGCTATCTAATCCTACCCAGTTTATGAGGGGATCCAGTTTTTAAAGTTTTGTTTTTATGTGTATGAGTGTTTTGCTTATATGTTAGTGTATGGTGAGAAAAGGGTATTGGGTTCTCCTGGAACTGGGGTTATAGCAGATTTGAGCCTCCATGTGGGTGCTGGGATTAAAACCTGGGTCCTCTGGAGAGCAGTCTGTGATTGTAATTACTGAACCATATCTCCAACCTCTATGTTTTTATTTTTGGCAAAGCAGTTGTGTGTTTTTCTGGAATGTGCCGTGACATCTTGGTATGTGTGTGCAGTGTGCACAGTTAGATCAGGGTGACTGCAGAAATTGGTTGTTTATCTGGGTAGGAGCACTCTTGCTGTTTTGAAATACTCCATTAGTTGTTGTTCACCCTAGCTTTCCTGTGCACTCTAGACTTACGACCAGCAACCCTCTGTTACTCTCCCCCTCCCTCCTGTCTTGTCTCCGTCCCCACTTCTCAGCCTCTGGTAGGCACTGCTTTTCTCTTTACTTCTCCGAGATCAACTTAACAAACAAACAACCTTATGTATTTATTTTACATGTACATTGTGTGGGGATATGTAAAATTAAGAGGAAAACTCATGGGAGTAGTTCTTCCACCCTGAGGGTTCTGGGATAGAGCTCAGGTTGTCCATATCCGCAGGCACCATCACACCTCCATGTGTAAGTGGCCACACATGGAACTTGTTTTTTGTTTGGTGCCTGAATCTCCAATGACCTCCAATTCCATTGTGATGCTGCAAATGACAGCTTTATTTGTTTTTTAATGGCCAGATAATATTCCGTGTACTCTTCATCTGTCCACAAGACCCTGGTTGGCTGTGTGTCTTGGCTGTTGTGAATACGGCTGTGCAAACATGGCAGTGCCACTGTATCTTTACCTGCCCTCTCCACTCAGGTTTGCATTTGTGATTTGATGAGCCTCCATATTCTTCCTTGCTGCCTCTAGCTCGTATGGCAGCTGTCACTTCTTTGCACTGTCTCCAACATTTGTGGGATTCCCCCGCCTTTTGGTCATTAATGATCATGACTGGGGTGAGGTGGTGTCTCGGAGTAATTTTGGTATGCATTTCCCGCTTAATGGAGAATTTTGAGTCAACATACTTGAGGTCCTGTGACATGCTGGTTATTCTGAAGTGGCTCAGTCCAGGCACCTCTCTTATAGCGCTTGTGGTCCAGCCTGGGGAAGGGTGCTGTTAGTGGAGCAGGTAGCATTCATCCACAGAGGCTTAAGGGAGGGAGATCCAAAGACAGAGATGTATCAGGTACCTCAGAGCAAGAAGGTACCTGTGGATCAGCTCCCCTCATGGTCCTGGCTGCTCACTGCTCCTGATAACACAATGCTGACCATGAGAGCTGAGCGTTCTCACTGTGTTTGGGCACAGTGAACTAGTCAGCTGGGGCCCTTTACCTGGCTGAACGTGTGCCTGCCTGGATCCTGGTCACTTGCTGTGGTGGATTTCTCTTGATGGGCTTTGCTCCTCCCTGACATGGCATCTGTGGCCAAGGTGGGCTTTGCCCCTCCCTTAGT